GGCCGCTCACTGGCTGAGCGAGGTGCGGGGGCAACACCGAGGGTTGCGATCCGTGGCCGGTCACGAAAAAAGACAAAAAGGAAAAAAAAAAATAAAAAAAGGAAAAAAAAAGAGCAGGGCCCAGACAGAATAAAGAGCTTCTTAAGTGTTAAACAATTAGCTAGTGGCAGATTAGACTGAAAATTTTCCTGTTAGTCTTGGCTAGCCAGTTCATTTACGTCTGGGACTCAGACATGTATGACAAAAAGGACATGTCCTCTCTGAACTCTCAGAATATCCACCTCCTATTCACTGCCCCCAACACAAACACATTTTAGTTCTTTGTGTGAAATTACAACTTACATGATGTCTTCCCCCAGACCACTGGCCATAATGTTCCATTTCTTCTACCAATTCGTCACAGGCTTTTTCAGAAAATATGGGGAACCAAAAGACATCTGGACAAGGCTATAAAACATGACATTACCATTAGAAGGCATAATAACATCTGTAGCTTAATAAGCCTAAAACAGCTCTTCCAGTATGTATAAAAATAAAAAACACTAAATGACTAGAAACATTGTGTCAACATTTAATTGACAGTATTTTTTTCTTTCTCATGGTACATAAAATGATGGTGCATCTCAGAACTGATGGAATAAGCCTAAAACAGCTCTTCCAGTATGTATAAAAATAAAAAACACTAAATGACTAGAAACGTTGTGTCAACATTTAATTGACAGTATTTTTTTCTTTCTCATGGTACATAAAATGATGGTGCATCTCAGAACTGATGGCACCTTAGGTTCTCAAAAATAAGTATTAGCAATAGTTTTGAACACTAAACTGAAATAGAGTTCATTTTTTAAAAAATCTCTCTGATGGAGGCCAACAGAGGTGGGAAAAGGGGAGGGGGGGTTTAGTGAGAAAAAATGATTACAATGTGCAAGGCTGAATATACTAATTATCCTTATTTGGGCATCACATCTTGCACGAAGGTATGGATATTCAATGCTGTACCCCGCAGATATGTACAATCAATTACGTTTCAATAAACAAATAAACAAATAACGTGCTCCTGTGTGGCTATACCAGGATGTATCACCCAATCCCTAACTCGGTGTCATCTGGTTTCTTGCAGGGCACCCCATTTAGATTGTGAGGTTGTCCAGGACAGGGCTCCCTCATATTCATCTGTCCCCAGTGCCTTCCACAGTGTCTAAAACACAGCAGGATTCAAAAATGCTGAATAAATGACTAACTAATAAATCACTGAAAAAAAATAAAAACCTCTCTGAGAAAAGACTTTCTTTCAAAGAGTTCAACTTTTTTCAAAGATGAACTTTCATTAAAAAAGGTCTACACCAGAGATCTGTCAATGTTTCCTTATTTTTAGTGGTTTCAGAAAGCTTTTTTAAAAAGGCACAATCTTAAAATTATTAATATCCAAGTTCTACATTTTTACAGCTATATGATCCATAAGACTGTACAGTTAGTAATCAAGCCACATTAATTTTATCTAAAGGATAGTTTCTCCACTTTCACAATATCTTCTGCTAAAGTAGTTATTGCATGAATAATATTCCCTTCTGGAAAATACAGCAAAAATGCTCTATACATCTTAATAATTACTAGTACAAACCTGCTCAACTATATTTTCAGTGAAAATCTTTGAATAATCTCGGTTTATGTACTTTTCCTTCCAGTCCTATAAAAACAATTGTACATATTAAAGCAAATACCTTTTTTATAAATACTTTCCTGGAAAATATAAAGTATTAAATTTTAGAAATTACTCAAATAATTTATAAATGATTGTGTGTAGTGGACAAAATAAGAATTTTCAGAAACCATAGTATATGTTTTAATCTTTGCCTGATTCTGTGTATGTTCACATCATTCTAATAAATACAAAATTTTTATTTATGAAATTTTATATCTCAGAATTTTAAAATGAGTAATCTTACAGTGATTAGATTTGCATGCCATATTTATGCATATACACAGGGATAGGTAAATACATGTGTTAGATGTGAAAGACAAGGAACAAAATCATATCGACAAATACTAGTAAAAATTAGTAAATTAGTTAACTAGAGTCTTACTTCTACAGTGCACTACTCTAAAATATTTTTTGATTTTTTATATGAAATTTTTAATTTGAAATTACAAATTTTTATTTGAAGTTTCTGCCTTCACTTAAGTTTTTAATACTTATCAAAGAATGATTATGAGGTTACATAACATTTCACTTTTTTTAGTTAGTAAAATTAAGGCTTATGGTCCTATATTGAAACATGTTTCCTCTTCATTCTAATTAATGAATCTGATTCTTCTCTTTGACCATTCCCTGGCACATAAAACACACATAAAGATCTCTTCTTTTTTATTTTTTTTTTAACATAAGTTAAGGAATCCTTTCCCTGGATCAAGTGCTTTATTTGAATATGGGTATTTATTGAAATATGAATATATTAAAACATGGAATGATTTAACTATCCAAAAAGATCTCTTCTTAAACGTATTTAGACTATTTAACCAAATTCTTAAGTTTCTCTTTATGAAGTACCAATGTAGGGAAGCCAGCAGGAAAAAACGGAGGCATGGACTCAAAAAAATCCCAATCAAAATATGTTTCAAAAAACATTTGTCTGAAATATATCTGAGATTACATTTCAGAGGGACTGATAATTTATATCACGATAATTTTTACATCATTCTCAGTTTTGCATATTTATTTATATGTAGCTCGGATATTGCTGATGTGGAGGAACAAAAGCTATCTTTGAATTCTTTAATAAATTTAATTTATACATAGAATATAATTTTAAGGATCAGACTTTTGTCATTATTCCCTCTAATATTTATTAGTTTTCTAATTCCAAAAAAAGGGAAAAAATTAGAAGTAAATATTCTTAAGATTTAAGAATCTTTATCTATAGTATTTTTTTTACAGTGCTTCATTGTTGATTTTTTTGAAGTTAAAGAAAAAAGTCCTTAAGTTTTTACATTAGGGTATTAATACTAATTTTTCATTTTACACCACCTTTCAAGTCATTGAGCAAACCATGACTTTACTAATTTCTTAGAAATTCTGATAATGGAACAATCACTTCTGATATTTTCATTGCATACTCTCCAAATACTTGGATTCTTACAAAAATGTCTACAATTCAGAGAATAATCTAGGACCTCTTACTAGGAAGCAAATATTCCCAAGTAATCAAATAATTCTGTCCCTCAAAATACCAAGAGATTCAGTGCCAAAGCAAAATACATAATTCTACCCTCACCATAAAAACAAAAAACAGAAAAACTTTTTTTCAATTCTACTCCTGTGAAAAATGAAGATATGCAGCTACAATGGAACAAAAGTACTTTTAAAATAACAAAATGTCAAAAAAAAATTCTTTTTCTATTCAACAGAGTGTTCAGAGATTATTAAATTTACTATTCCCATATCTCAACTATTCTTATAAGTTAAAGACTATTCTCATCTGAGTCTTTGCAGTTTAAAACTTTTACTATAGCCACGGGGAAAATCATAAATAGCAGCGTTACAGAGATGATTATTCAAGAGAGTATTTTCCCTTGAATAATGTTCCAACTTGACTAAAGAAAAGAAGTTCCTGTAAAACAAAAAAGGAGCTAATTACTGTATGGTTCAAATCTTTAAAAAAAAAATTAGACTTTCAAAAGAAATAGTTTCCTCAACTTAACACTTTCTTCATATGCTGAATCAACTTATTCTGCAGTTTTCTCTGGCTATGTTTGGTGTACATTCACAAAATTGTCAAAATAATCAACAAAATGATAAACTAAGATGTATTTTCCCAATCTAACTTCCTGATTTTTCTTCCTGAAAATAAAAATGTGTGAGCTATTTGTAAACATTTTTCTAAAATTGTGAATAAAAATCAGACAGTGCTTTTGAAAACATAAAAAGATTAGAAGAAATCAAAGAAACTGATAATTTCCTTCCCCAAACCTAATATATGTCTTAATATAAAATGTTCTTGGTCAAGTTTAGATCTACTCTTAAGATTATGAAATACAATTAATTATGTCATTATTTAAAAAGCCTCTTACCACATTTTTACATTATTAACCAACCGATTTACATCCAGTTAGAGTTATAGAAAAGTAAGTAATAAGTGAAGTTGAATATGAAATACATACCACAGGATTTTCAAAAATCTGCCAGAGGTCATTGTTATAATGGGAAGTATTGTAATTAGCAGTTGATAAAAGCCTTCCAAATTCATGTCTATTAGAAATGTACATAAACACACCCTAGGTGCCAAAAAATAATAGTATTAATCTTAAAGTACAAAAAAAATTTAACCATGGAAAAATATATAGGAGATATTAATTTTAATTTTTATATTTCATTCATAACATGCATTTTGTCATATAAAATTTGCACAATTTAAAATAAAAGAAATAAAATTTTGATTATGAATTCAGATACCACACAAAACTAATAGATAGCACTGACACTCAGCTGAAAAAGAGAAGAACAATGTACTGGTTTTGTCCCTTTCTTATTGATCCCAGATGTAGACTTCGAGAAAAAAAAAATTCTGTTTAAAAGCAGAAATATTTGAGACATCAAAGTGCAATGAGTTGTACATCTTTTGGCTTCTTTCCCTTTCAAAGAATACAATATCACATTTTTATACAAGAACTCAATATGTAAGTATTATTTCATCAGGCTATTTCATTTTTTTTGTTATTGTTGCTCTAATGTTTAAAGTCTGCACACACAAATTCGTCATGCATTACAAAGACAGCTAAAGAAAACCAGTCTCATATCCTTGCCTCACCAAATAAATATGGCAAACACCACTGAGGTAAGGTTGTTTCTTTTTGCACCTGTTTTAACGGTAAAAAGGTTAGTGATTAACAAATCAATGAAGAGTACCCAAACCTCATTTTAATCAAGATGTATGTACTTTATACCTGCTCCTACCTCTTCTTCTCCTTAAAAAACACAACAAAAAACCTAGAAAGAAAGAGTGGAAGGGACTTGGGTTCAACTTTCTTACCTGTTAACCATAAAATATGAATCAGCTCAAAGAACACAAAGTTGACTATCACACAGCCCCCCCATTACACAAAACGCACACGCACATATACGATTACTAACCGATGCATACCAACATTTTACCAAGCTAAATGCAAAGAAGGCTCTTAAAGAAACTTTACCGCTAGTCAATATACCATATTCAATATTAACAAACAAAAAATAAAAATAAATGAATAAATAAGTAAATAAATAAAAAGAACACCTTTGGGGGGCTGAGCATTTGGAATGTTTCCGGAGTAGGGGAGTCTTTTTCCCTTTGTAAAGTCTAAAATGAAGAGAAGCATTGGGTAAGTCGACCTGCACACTCACCCTCTCAGGTATTTTTTGGTAAATAAAAACAGCAGCTTGTCATCAAAAGCTAACATTATGACATGTCCTTCACAGACAACATGCAGAACAAGCAAAGCTTATAGCGCACACAAAGAAACATCTCCAGCCCTTTCAGCCCTTTTTTTTTTTTTTTTTTTTTGGGGGGGGGGAGTCAAACATAAATCCAAGCTCATTCTTTAGCAGAACTTTCATTAGACACATAATTAAGACGCAGGAAAAAATGAGTGAGAGAGGCCATTCCAGGATGTGCTGTTGAGTCAGATTAGCCGAACATGAGCGCAAAATACAACCACAGGTACTGAGGTACTCGATAATAACGCACATGAGTGTGTAGGAGAAACCAACATATTCAAACAACACATGCCTTGTTAAACTAAGAAAAATATACTTGCCAACTTTTCTGATTTTTTCAAAAATCACAATTGCTTATCTAATTTGGAAATAAAATAACCCGATAATTCCTAAAACAGAAAATCACACAAATGTGTTTTAAAACATATTTATGCATTTTGAAAAGCAATCTATTTTCTAGTCATTTATGTTTTACAACAAAGGTATATTTGAAGAACACCAATATATCATTAGTTTTTTAAATAGATTAATATACTACATATCTCCACCCTTCTCCCACTTTAACAGTAAGGAACCTGCTCTTTAAAAATGAGAAGTTAATAATGATATAAAGTACACCAGTTAGAGAAAATATGGACATGGATTTCAGAACAAAACTGTGTTCTTCTTAAACGGTTATGATCATTTCACTCAGGCTCTATCTAATTAATTTTAATTAATTTGAGTTTTCACCATAGAATTTCAAATGGAAGTAAACATGTATTCTTAAAAGAGCAAAGCTATTTGTAACAAGTTCATTTTTTTCAGTGAAATCCTACTGTGTTGCTTATGAGTCAGCCTGAATACTACACCTAACATTTTTCAACCCGTTTCTACTGGTAAATGTTCACAGATTATTCCCCCAAATTACTCCCAACTTTTTAACACAGAACCAAAAAAATTGGCTAGTATTTGCAAATTAGAAAGGAAAAGGGCATCAAAACACAATGACACACCAACTGGTAAAGCAAGCCATCTTATGAGAACATTCAAGCAAGTCATAATTGTTTATCTTACCATTTCCCTAGCATTTCGGCAAAGAGCCATATCAGGATCCAATTTATCTCGAACAAAATAGTTCCTTTCATTCATCTCTGATCGGAGTGTTTTTCCTTTGATTAAGTACACGTTAGCCATGTATGGGACATTCCATAGTCCTCTGAAAGTAAAAAGAAGACATTTTAAAATAGCACAAATATAACATGTTTTATTTTTACATTTTTAAAATAAATGCTTTGTATGTGTTTAAACTTTATGTACAAATATATATTCAATCAACACACAACCACATTTAATGACATTTGGCAAATATATGAGATTACTTGGTATATACTATATTTTATGAAATTTAAGAGACAAATCTCTCTCTAGATAAACTTCGATTTAGAGCTGGTATCTGTTTGACATTTTTGCTGTCATCTCTCAGTTGTTGCAGTTATAGCATAATATTCTGTTGTACATAATGTGTTTCCATTTAATATTAAAGAGTTTGATAGCAAAAATAATAACATACAACCACTGGTGCACTAGAGCTGGCTCATACTGGCTCCCCAGAGCTGACTTTTAGTGCCAAGTTCACATTCAGTGATTTCTCAATTGAAACTTGAAATCAGCCATGGTAGAAGTATTTACTACACAGAAATTGGCAAACACTATCAGTGGATTCCCCCACCTCCAAGAGCCAGTTGTTCTATACTTACCAGCACACCACTGAATATAGCCTAAAATTCTCCTAAATTATATTTTCTTGAAATTCATTAAGCCATCTTATGAAAAAGGAAGATATGAAAAAATACATAAGTGTTAGGAGACTCTTTTTTCCTTTATTCTTTTCCACACCTACCTCCTCACTCTGAACATTGTTCATTTCCTAAGAACAGCATAAGAAGAGTTTTGCCTGAAGGGCTGTGCTTGTTGCTTTTAGAGAACCACAAAGCAAGATCTTGACTGAGGAAATACAGTTAGATATTAAAAGAAATATGATATCATTTTGCCTCACTAAAACAGCCCCAAAGAAAACTGCCTTAAGAAGTACAGTTGTCTCCCCTTATGCACTTGGGAATATGTTGCAAGACTCCCAGTGGATGCCTGAAACAACAGATAATACCGAACCCTACCTATACTATGTTTTTTGCTACATATATGCACCCATGATAAAGTTTAACTTATAAATTAGGCACAGGAAAAGATTAACAATAAGAACTAATAAGAAAACAGAACAATTATAACAACATACTATAATGAAAATTATGTGAATATGATCTCTCTCTCAAAATATATGAATATTTTCGGAACATG